AAAATTGTTTTTGTTGTTGGGTGCCATTGAGTCATTTCTGATTCATAGTAACTCTATATACAACGGAATGAAACACTGTTGGGTACTGCTCCAGCCTCACAATCCTTGCTATGCCTGAGCACATCATTGCAGCCACTGTGTTAATCCATCACATTGAAGATGTTCCCCCTTTTTGCTGACTCTTCATTTTACCAAGCATGATCTCCATCTCCAGGAAACAGTTCTTTCTGACAACATGACCAAAGTAGGTGAGATGAAATCTGGCCATTCTCACTTCAAAGGAGTATTGCAGCTGCACTTCTTCCAGGACAGATTTGTTCATTCTTCTGGCAGTCCGTTGTTCTTACAGTATTCTTCACCAACACCACAACTCAAAATCATCAACTCTTCTTTGGTCTTCCTTATTTGTTGTCCAGCTTTCACATGCATAAGGCTATTGAAAATACCATGGCTTGGGTTAGGCACACGTTAATCTTTAAATAGAAATCTTTGCTCTTCAGCACGTTAAAGAGGTCTTTTGCAGCATATCTGCCCAGTGCAATACGTCGTCTGATGTCTTGACTGCTGCTTCCATTGGTGTGGATTGTGGAATCAAGTAATATGAAATCTTTGACAACTTCAATCTTTTCCCCACTTATTGTCATCCTGTTTATTGGTCCAGTTGTGAGGATTTTCATTTTCTTTATGTTGAGGTAATCCATACTGCAGACTGTACTCTTTAATCTTCATCTATAAATGCTTCAAATCATCTTCAGTTTCAGCAAGAAAGACTGTGTCCCCTGCATATTGCAGGTTGTTAATGAGTCTCCTACCAATCCTAATGGCATGCTCTTCTTCATATAGTCTAGCTTCTCAGATTATTTGCTCAGCACACAGATTGAATAAGTATAGTGAAAGGATACAACCCTGACACACTCCCTTACTGATTTTAGGCTATGCAGTATCCTTTTGTTCTGTTCAAACAACAGTCTCCTGGTCTATGTACAGGTTCCTCATGAGCACCATTAAGTGTTTGGGAATTCCCATTCTTCTGAATGCTATCCATAATTTGTTATGATTCACACAGTCAAATGCCTTTGCATACTCAATAAAACACAAATATCTTTCTGATATTCTTCACTTTCAGTCAAGATCTATTTGACATCAGCAATAATATCCCTCATCCCATGTCCTCTTCTGAATGCAGCTTGCATTCCTGGAAGCTCCCTGTCAATATACTGCTACAACCATTTTTGAATTCTCTTCAGTAGAATTTTACTTGTGTGTGATATTAATGATATGGTTCTATAATTTCCACATTCTGTTGGATTACCTTTCTTTCTTTAAAAGGGGTACAAATATGGATCTCTTTCAGTCAGTTGGCAGGTAGCAGTCATCCAAATTTCTTGGCATAGAGAAGTAAGTGCCTGGAGCGTGGCATACACTTGTTGAAAAAGCTCAATGGATATTTTGTCAATTTCTTGACCCTTGTTTTTTGCCAATTCCTTCAGTGTAGCTTCAGCTTCTTCCTTCAGTACCACTGGTTCTTGATCACATGACACTTCCTGAAATAGATGAACATCGACCAATTTTTTTTTTGTACAGTGACTGTGTATTCCTTACATCTTCTTTTGATGTTTCCTGCATCATTCAATATTTTGCTCATAGAATCTTTCAGTATTGCAACTTGAGGCTTGAATTTTTTCTTCATTTCTTTCAGCTTGAGAAATGCAGAGCATGTTTTTTCCCTTTGGTTTTCTAACTCCAGGTCTTTGCACATTTCATTATAGTAATTGACTTTGTTTTCTTGAGCTGCTCTTTGAAATCTGTTCAGCTCTTTGATCTTGCCATTTCTTCCATTTACATTAGCTACTCTCCAATCAAGAACATGTTTCAGAGTCTCTTCTGACATCCATTTTGATCTTTTCTTCCTTTCCTGTCTTTTTAATGACCTTTTGCTTTCTTCATGTATGATGTTCTTGATGTCATCCCACAATTCATCTGGTTTTGGTTATTGGTGTTCAACATGCCAAATCTATTCTTCAGATGATCTCTAAATTCAGGTGGGATATAATCAAGGTCATATTTTAGCTCTCCTGGACTTGTTTCAATTGTCTTCAACTTCAACTTGAACTTACAGATGAGCAATTGATGGTATGTTCCACAATCAGCCCCTGGCCTTGTTTTGGCTGAAGACATTGAGCTTCTCCATTGTCTCTTGCCACAGATGTAGAGCATCTGATTCCTGTGTACTTCTTCTGGAGAAGTCCATTTATGTTGTTGGAAAAAGGAATTTGCAATGAATAAGTCATTGGTCCTACAAAATGCTATCATGCAATCTCGAGCATTACTTCCATCACCCATGCCATGTTTTCCCACTACTGATGATTCTTCTTTGTTTCCAACTTTCACATTTCATTCATCAGTAATAATCCACACAACTTGATTGCATGTTTGGTTAGTTTCAGACTACAAAAGTTGGCAGAAATCTTCAACTTCCTCATCTTTGGTTCTTGTGGTTGGTGCATAAATTTGAATAATAATAGTATTAACTGGTCTTCCTTGTAAGCATCTTGATATTGTCCCATCCCTGATAGCATTGTACATCAGGATAGATCTTGAAACATTCTTTGTGATGATGAATGCCACTCCATTCCTCTTCAATTTGTCATTCCAGGTATAGTAGATCATATGATTGTCTGATTCATAATGGCCAAAACCAGTCCATTTCAGCTCACTAACACCTAGGATATTGATCTTTATTTGTTCAATTTCATTTTTGATGACTTCTCATTTTCCTACATGCCTACTTCATACATTCCATTTTCTGATTATTAATGAATGTTTTCGGCTGTTTCTTCCCATTTTGAATCATGTCACATCAGCTAATGGAGGTGCCCAAATTTTTACTCCATCTACGTTGTTAAGGTCAACTGTACTTTGAAGAGGTAGCTCTTCCCCTGTTGTATTTTAAGTGCCCTCTGACCTCAGGGGCTCATCTTCTGGCACCATATCAGACAATGTTTCAGGGATATTCATAAAGTTTTCTAGTGTTATATCAAACAGTTTTTCACTGCTATTAATAAGGTTTTCACTGGCTAATTCTTTGAGAAGTGTATGGCCCCTTTCTTCTTCTGAGTCAGTCTTAGTCTGGAAGCTCTGCTGAAACCTGTCTACAGTGGGTGACCCTGCTAGTATTTGAAATACCTGTGGCATAGCCTCCAGCTTCACAGCAACACACAAGCCACCACAGTATGACAAAGTGACAGATGAGTGTAGGAACCAAAAAATAGTTTATCTTAATTAGTGATATAGATCTGCTTTGAGCATTGTGCCCTTTTAAAGAATTATCTATGTGAAATTGACAATGGCAACTTGAAATGTTGGATGGGAAACTTAAGGGACAGTGAATTTAAGCTAATGGTGGTGGCATAATTTGAAAAAGGGTAGTAAGGATGGTAATACAACTTGAAGAATGTAATCAATGCCACTAAATTGTATACGTAGACATGATGTATCTTTGGTTCACCAAAAAAAAAAAAAAAAAAAATAGAGAGAGAAAGAGCGTGCCTTAGGGACAGCTGGACTACTGCATACTAAACAGGATTTTTATCATCTCCTTTGGCCTCTGTTAAGATACCTGCTATACATATTGTTGCTATAAGTTGGGACTGACTCGATGGCACCTAACAACAAAAACAATACTTGTAGACAGGGGTGCTCTCATCTATGGGGCCGGGGGCCTGGAGGAGGGCTATGAATGGGATGAAAGGGGCCAGCTGAGGCCAAAAGTAAGCAAGGAGAGCAAGGATCTCCAGCTGGTTACTGTCAATGAGGAAGGTGGCCCTACACTCACCAAATCCTTTTCTTTTTTCCCAAGGAACATTAAAAATTTAGATATGTATATAAGATCACCCAAATTTTTAACGTTGGCCCAAATTTATAAAACATTATAAGGGCCAAACAAAACACATCTGTTGCCATATCAGACTCATTGACCACTTAGTTTTAACCTCTTTACTGGAAGTGAAGACACTGGCTCTGGAGTTAGATAGTTTGGGTTCAGATGCTACCTCTGATATATCCTCACCAATTACTTCATCATTTCCTGCTTCAGTTTCCTCATTGGTTAAATTGTTGTTTTTAGCTGCCTTCAGGTCAGTTCCAGATTGATGATGACTCCATGCACAATGGAACAAAACTCTGCCTGGTCCTGTGCCATGATCATGAGCCTCAGGATGTGTTACAGTTTGAGCCATTATGACCATAGGGTTTTCATTGGCTGATTTTCAGAACTAGATCACCAGGCCTTTCTGCCTAGTCTGTCTTAGTTTGGGAATGGTGCTGAAACCTGTTCAACATCATAGCAATGACAGACCCATCCAATGATAGACTGATAGTAGCTGTGCATGAGGTGCATTGGCTGGGATTTGAACTTCGGTTTCCCACATGGAAGGTGAGAATTCTACCACTGAATCACCAATGCCTCATATTTGTAAAGTTGGGTTTATAATAGTTTTATGTCATAAGAGTTCCTGTGAGGACTGAATAGAATACTATGAATGTGAAATAGAAAGAGCTTAGCACAGTGCCAGGCACACAGTTGTTATTTGTTATTAGTAAGTGCTGTCAAGTTGGCTCTGACTCATATAAACCCTGTGTACGACAGAATGAAATGCTGCCCAGTCCTGTGCCATCCTCACAATCCTTGCTATGCTTGAGCCCATGATTGCAGCCATTGTATTATCATTGCAGCATACAGTTCAATAAATGTGAGTTCTTATCATTATGATTACGAGTCTATCAACTTCCTCAAGCTGAGTGCTTATAAATCTGACTAATCTGTCTAAGAATGGGTTGTCCCTGAGGTTTCTATGCATTAATTCCTATGAAATCTTAATACCATGCCTGAAACAGAGTAAATGCTCACTAAATGCTGGTTCTCATGTCTGTTCTCTACCATCTGCCTGATTTCTGATGGCTCCCAGAAAAAGAGCAAATGAAACATTGCTTCTACTTACATGTCAAGCAGACCATGATGAGGCGGATGGACAAGTCTAGAACCAGTGCCCAGCGCTTTGATACTCGGGACAGGACGAAGGGGATGATGATTTCTGCAGGGACGTAGAACTGCAGAGAGTAGCTGCACATGATGCCAATGATATAGAAGAGCTTGACTGACTGGTACAACCTGCAGGACAAAGCAGAGTGATGCTTTCTAAGGCTACTGTGCTCTGATGCTGGGCCTCCTTGAAGCACTGACCTCTGACCTTGGGACAATTGCTGTGCCTCTGATTTTCTGTCTGAAAATGATGGTCAGTGACCTCCTAAGAGTTAAGAGGGACTCACATCAGAGCATGCAGTGAAAATAGAGTGAAGCATTGTGGATTCAAATAGAAATAGTTGAAAGAGTCGTCTCTAAATAAAATAAAAATAATCTTGGGTGTGGATGTGCATAAAAGTTAAAACAAAACAAAACAAAAAACTCCCACAAATAATGAACCCATTACCATTGAGTAAATTCTGACTCATGGTGATCTCGTATGTACTCCATAGGTCCCTGGGGGGTGTAAACAATTTGCACTCATAGCAACCGTTTTGGGTTTCCAGGGCTGTAAATCTTCTTGGAAGCAGAGTGACCCATCTTTCTTCTGCAGAGCAGCTGGTGGGTTTGATCCACCAGCCTTTTGGTTAATAGCCAAATGCCTTAATCACTATACCACCAGAGCCTCTTATTTGGATTTTTGTTGAAACTCACTTCACTACTAACTTAAAGGTTGTCAGTTAGAACCTACCCAGCTTCTCTGTGGAAGAAAGGCCTGGTGATCTGCTTTGCTAAAGATTACAGGCAAGTCAACCCAATGGAGCAGTTCTGTGCTGTGACACAACTATCATTTGATGTTCAATTTAGACTTTAGGAAAGAGAAACTCAGGTGAGGTACCTTGCCTGGGGAGGTAATAAGTGGCTAAGGCTAAAAACCAGGATCTTTAAGATTCTATCAGTCCTGAAGAATTATTTGGATCTCCAAAGCTCTTGGCACTTAACAGGCCCCTGGCAAATGCTTCTACCTGGTTGAGAAAGAGAACTGAAGAATCCCAAATCCTTTTAGGGTGTGGGGGGAGATGGGGGTAAAAGGAGAGACAGAGGGTTTCTTGTAGGCCTCAAGCTGGGGCCAGGGAGAGTGTGAGGGTTCAAGGGATGTTGAGTTTTATCAAGCTTTTTTTGACCTAATGAGATAAGACCTATTTCCTTTAGTTCATGAATGAGGTGAATGCATCCTCTCTGTTTAATAAAACTATGTATGTGTGTTGGGGAATGTTACACCGTTCCTTAGAAAGGACAAATTGCACATTTGTGTTTTTTGCTTACTTGTCCTACTGCCTGGAATGCCCTCTCTACTCCATTTCCATCTATCCAAACCCCACCCATTGTTTGAAAATCAATGTCTTTTGAGCAGGGCCCACCACATGTCAAATACTTTTAGATGTTGCCAACATAATCCTTATGACAACTCTGCTTTAGAGATGAGGAAACTGAGGCTCAGAGATGTTAAGTAAATCATGACCACAAGCTACTAGGTAGTGCAAGTAGGATGAGGACCCAGGAGGGCTAAAGCCTGATACGTGCAACCTTTTTCATATATAACCACCAGTTGCCATTAAGTCAACTCTGACTCATAGCAATGCCAGGTGTGTCAGAGTAGAACTGTGTTCCACAGGGTTTAAAATGGATCATTTTTCAGAAGTAGATTGCCAGGCCTTTCTTCTGAGGTACCTTTGGATAGACTTGATCCACTAATCTTTCAGTGAGCAGCTGAACACACTAACCATTTGCATTACCCAGGGACTCGCTTTCTCATATAATCTGTCTTTACTGTCCCATTGGATATATATATATATATATATATATATATATATATATATATTTTTTTTTTTTTCCCCTCAGAAATCCCCAAGGCCTGTTTGCTACTCTAGAGAGCTTATTTTTCTGTTCTATATTGTAGTGCCTAAGGCATTTGACTGTGAACCAGAAGGCTGGCAGTTCAAACCCACCAGCATCTCCTCAGAAAGAAGATTGGGCAATCTACTTCTGTAGAGATACCACCTCAGAAACTCAAGGAAGGGTCGCTATGAGTCAGGACCAACTCGACAGCAGTGAGTTTGGTTTTGGTTTGGATATTATAGTTGGGGTAGATATGCTGAGTCCCTGGGTGGTGCAAATGGTTAACATGCTCAGCTGCTAATGGAAAGGTTAGTGGTTTGATTCCAGCCAAAGGTGCCAAAGGTGCCTCAGGCCTGGCAATCTACTTCTGAAAAATCAGCCCATTGAAAACCCTATGGAGCACAGTTCTCCTCTGACACTTATGGAGTCACCATGAATTGGAATTGACTTCATAGTAACTTTTGATTTTTTTGTCCATATACTATCCACCGCTCTCCCATTCCTACTGGGTCACAAGCTGGTGAAGGTGTTGAAGCTACAAAATGTAGTATACTCACATCAGCGTCCCTCCACACTCTGTCTAGAATGACATCTGTATATAATTGGCATACAGTAAATGCTTGATGAATGACATTTTTTAACTTGGGGAAGGGACTCCATTTATGCAAATTAGGCCTCCAGGTGACTGTCCTCATAAGAAAATGAGGCATCCTGTAATTAATTACATGCCCCAGGATGGGAGAGAAGGCTCCACAGTGAAATATGGACTCACATGTCTATTTAAATATGGCACTGTTGAAGTCTGTGTCAGCTATTTGATGCATGAATTTGGCACAGTTGAGCATAAAACTCTTACAGATTCCAATGGTCTTTCTAGATTATTTTTTATTTCTTTATTTTCATCTGAGCTACTCCGACTCAGGGGATGTGCACCATAGGCACCATAGGCAAGCAAGACTGGGTAATGCAGCCTCACTACATGTAGTTGGAAGTGTTACCACCATCTACTCTCTGCCTCCAACTCTTGCCCAGTGTCCTTCCCTTCTTTCATTTCAAATGACCAAGAACCTCTACTTCTCTGTCTTCTCAAATCATGCCCTTCTCCACAATAACATATCAAGGCCTAACTCAGCTTGGGGTGCTATTGTCAGGGGAAGAACCTGGAGCCCAGAGGCCCAGTGACAACTGCTTCTCTCTGTGTAGGCTCTCTAGACCTCAGTTTTCCATCTGCAGAATGGAGGAAGAAGTGACCTGCATGCTCCCACCAAGCCCAGAATCCCTCTGCCTGAGAGCCCACATAGGTACCAGCAGTTGGGCAGGTTGAGGGTTATGCTGGCCTGGATATCATCTCCAAATTTCAGGTACCCCAGAGCACCTATGATGATGTACAGGATGATGATGATGGACATTCCCAAATTGAGGATGGCTGGGAAGCGGCGAGGGTCCTTCATATTGTTCTCCAGAGGCAGAACCTGCAGAAACATCACAGTGTAGGAAGAGAGGAAGAGAAGGACAAACTGAACATAAAGCAGGCATGGAGTGACAAGATGAGCCCTGGACTGTTCAGAACAGAAAGGGCCCCTAAGGTTATCTAGACCAAAGATTGCACTTTCCCAGCAGCTGAATCTGGCCAGTAGATCATTTTATTTGGCCAGCAGAGCTTTTAAAGAATATAAATAACTTTAGGCAAAACATTCACCCATTTACCAGTCCCCACCTTTCCAACACTGACTCTTTACCCACATAACCTCTCAAAGGCATTTGAGTTGGAGAGTCATAATTCTAGTTCACCTCTCCCCTTTCTGTACAAATGGGTTGGCTGAGACTCAGAGAAGGAAGTACTTCTTTGTGGTTGGTTATACAGAGGGCTAATGACAGAGCTAGGATGAGACCCCTGGCTTTCTGGTTGCTGCAACTGTTTTTTCCCACACATCATGGCCTTACTCTTTTGTTCTCAGGACCTATTTTTTCCCCAAATGGAATCCAAGTTGAGGCCAGCCTGCATCTTGATCTTGCTCAGAGTTGGATGGTCACTGCTGTCTTTGGAACCAGCTCTCTGGTCTCTCATCCCATACATTCCCTCCTTAGACTCTTGTTAATTGAGAGACCACCCCTATGTTTTCCTTGATTGGCTTTATCCTCAATCAGGCTCTGTGCTAAGCACACAATACAGGCATGGTTTCATTTTATTGCTCTGTGCCTCAGTTTCCTTATTTGAAAATAGGCACAAGAATAAAACTTACCTCTTGGGGATTTTGGGGGAGAATTACATGAACACATGGGACCATAATGGCACATAGTAAGGGCCTAATAAATGGCAGCTGTTATTATTTTTTAATAGTATAAAGTCCACAACTCTAAGAATTCTATTATTCTTATTTTATAGATGATGCTTACTCACTGATCTGCACTGAACACGTTCCCTTGTTACCCTACAGAGAGGGACCAGGTCTTCTGGAGCAAGGTAAGCACGGGCGTAGCACAGAGTAGCAGGCCGGAAGAGCAGGAGGAAGGGGTGGAACCCAGGAAGCCAAAGAGAAGAGTGTTCAGCCAGGG